AGCAAGCCTGAAAACCGCACATGTGCCCTGACCGGGAATCGAACTATGATCTCCTGTATCCTAGGTTGATGCTCCACCACTGAGCCTTGCCAGCCAGGCTCATTATACCGATTTTTGAAGATAAAACCAACCTGGCATCCTCAGAACAAACACCACTTGTGTATGTACTAGTCTTTTTAGATATTGTTGGATTTGATTTGCTGAAATTGTGTTAAGAATTTTTCCATTTATACATTTTGGTTTTGTTGGGTGGATTCCCATAATTCCCTTAGGCTCTGTTTACATTTCTTGATTCCTTTCTGCTCTGAGAACCGATTAATTTTAAATGACTTGTCTTGAAGATTGCAGATGCCTTCTTCTGCCTGTTTGAGCATTTTTGAACCCCACTTGTGAATTTTTCAATTTAGTTATATTGTTCAGCTCCAGATTTCAGGCTGTTTTCATTTTAATAAATTATCTTTTTAAAAATATATATATATTGATTTCAGAGAGAGGAAAGGAGAGGGAGAGAGAGAGAAACATCAATGATGAGAGAATCATTGATCGGCCGCCTCCTGCAAACCCACGATTGGGGATGGAGCCCGCAACCCGGGCATGTGCCCTGACAGGGAATCGAACCCCGATAGCTTGGATCCTAGGTTGATGCTCAATCGCTGAGCCACGCCCGGCTGGGCTTAATAAATTATCTTTGTGATATGCTCATTTTGTTCCTACATCATCTTCCTGATTTCTTTCTTTCATTATTTGTGTTGTCCTTTTGCTCTATGAGCATATATAAGACAGCTGTTTTATAGCTTTCATCCAGGAAGCCTGTGGCCTGTGTTTCTTTAGGGCCTATGAAGGGGATTTACGATGTTCCTTTGAATGGGCCATGTTTTCTTGTTTCTTTCTATGCTTTTTGAGCTTTTGTCAAAAAATTCGCACTTGGAGAAACAGCTCACCTATTCTTGCAGACTGGATATGTACAGAAGACTACCATCACTAATCAGCCCAGAGTAAAAGTTTAAGTCTTCTGAGATCTTTTCTGAGGATGATGCATCTTCTCTGGGCCTGTGCATGGGCCCCTCTCCCCTCAGTGCTCCCACATATACAGCTGCTTTTAAATGTCTTAACTTTCCTAATACTCTCACCACTGGCTTCTTGAGCCTTCAGTGTTCTTTCTTATTTCTCTGCCTGTAATCTTTGACCTCCAGGTGTGTACAAGTCTGCAATTGCTGTAAAGTTTCCATGTGCCATGGCACCTATCCCTGCTTTAACAGCCACCTACCTGATATACAAAATGTCCCACCATTCCCATCTCAGTTCTGACTCATGTGAGACAGAAATCAGTCTCTCAGCTCCTGTCAAGCCAAATACTGCAATCAAGTTGCACTCTTTTTCACTCTTCTCCCACAGCAGAACCAGTAATTGGGTGGTTTTCACCCTACTATCCCCTACTGAGGCAGGAATGGGTCAGGATGAGAGTGAGCAAAAATGTCATGAAAGATCCTACCATTCTGAATGTGGATTTTTTGACTGGTTTCTAGAGCTCCCAGCAAGCAATGATACTTTTACTCGGTCCATTGTTTACTTGATGCTTTCACTGTGGTACAGGCCTGAAGCTTCCTCCTCTGTCATCTCACGTCACTCTTCTCCTCCAATTTTGAAAGATGGTTTTGCTGAATAAAGAATTCTTGGTTAAGAGTTTTTTCAACATTTAAATATATAATCCACTTGCTTTCTCTCTTGATGCTTTCAAAATTCTCTATTTGTTTTTAGCTTTGACACTTTACTATATATACTCTCTTTGTGTAGATACCAAGTTTGTTTTGTTGAAGTTCATTGAATTGCTTGGATATAGAGATTCATGTATTTCATCATATTTGCGAAGTTTCAGACAATATTTCTTAAAATATTTCCCCTTTCTGTCTCCCCTCTTCCTCTTGAATCCCTACTATGTGTATATAGTCTTGTGCCACATAACAATGTTTTCATCAATGACAGACCACATATACAATATAAATGAGCTGAAAAATTCCTATTAGCCTAAGGATATCCTAGCTCTCATAATGCCATAGCTGTCATGACCATCATAACGTCCTAGTGCAACACATTACTCACATGTTCTATACAACCTATTGCACTGCTAGTTGTATAGAAATATGGCCTATAGAATTCTAATAGTAAATGTCACCATTGATGTTGTGTAAGTGCACTCTATGATGTTCACACAATTCAAAATCGCCTGCTGATGCATTTCTCAAAATGTATCCCTGTCATTAAGCAGCACATGACTATTTCAGCTAATTGGTGGTGTCTTATAAGTCTCTTAGGTTCTGCTCATTTTTCTTCACACTTTCCTTTTTCTGCCCCCACAATGGATACTCTCAATCAGTTCTTCATATTTGCCAATTCTTTATTCTCTGTGCTCAAGTCTGATTTTGAACCCATCTAGTGACATTTTCACTTCAGTTACTATGCTTTTCAATTCCAGTATATTTGATTTTGTTTTGTAATCTTCATCACATTATTAATATTCTTCACTTTGGGAGACACTGTTCTCCTGATTTCCTTTAGTTTTTTTGTTCTTTCCTTTAGTTCATTTACTTCTATGGGAATATTTAAGAGGGTGATTTAAAGTCTTTGTAATGCTGGGTTATCTCATAGACAATATCTATTATTTTTCCCCACACACAGGCCATGCTTTCTTGTTTATTTCCATGCCTCATAACTTTTTATTGAAAACTTGTTATGTTGAACAATATAAAGTAGAAATTCTGGCTATCTCTTCTTACCACGGTTTGCTGTTGTAGCTGTTTGCTGTTGGTGTTGCTCCTGTTTGACTCTAGCTTGCATTTGGGAAGATGTAATGTTACAGGTGGACAGGAACTTTCCTGATGAGAACCCTATACTGCTTTTATGATTTTATTTTAAATTAACATCAAACAGCATTGCTTTTCTGGACATATTCTTCTGTTCCAGGTTTCTAACATTTAACATTTAAACCTTTGACAAAAGCGTATTACACATGGTCACCTAGGATTTTTGTGTTTTTTAAATCTATTTGATGGAAAGTATTCAGTGGTGAGATTATATATATATGTGTGTGTGTGTATATATATATATACACACACACATATATATACCTTCACATTACACCATGGACTGTGAGTGCCTTTTAAACCACTGCAAATAGTCTTTAGTGCCTTTGAATCCAATCAGACTAGAGAACCAATTCCAGAAATCCCAGAATCAATTCAGAATCTTTTGTTAAACTAAGGTACAAAAACAAGATTGGCCCTGGCCAGGTGGATCAGTTGTTTAGAATGTCATCCTGTACACCAAAAGGTTGTGGGTTTGATTCTGGTCAGGGCACATACCTAGGTTGCAGGTTCGATCCCCATTCATGGCATTTAAGGGGAAGCAACCAATCAATGTTTCTCTCTCTCCCTTCCCCTCTCTCTATAAAAGAAAAAATACAAAAACAAGATTGAATGGTTGTTCCTAACTGTAATGGATGAAGTGAAAGAAATGAAATCATTACCTTAAGTCTTCAAATTCCCAGCTAGAATTATACATAAAAGACCGAAAAGAATCTACCTCTATCTGCCCTGGCCAGTGTGGCTCAGTTGGTTGGAGTGTCATCTCTGCCCCAGAAGGTTGCAGTTTTGATTCTGGCCAGGGCACATACCTAGGTTTCCAGTTCCATTCCTTTGTTGGGCACGTGCGCAGAGGCAACCAATAGATGTCTCTCTCTCACAACATTTCTCTCTCTTTCTCTCTTTCTCCCTCCTTAAAATCAATTTTAAAAAAGTAATCTATGTAAGCCCTGAAAGAAGCTTTTATCTCCTGCTGTCACAGAGCTGACATTTTTTAAAGCAAAACCCAGAGATTCAGTTTTAATTACAACGTGAGGTAAATTTCCAATTCTGCAGAGGGAATTCTGTTAAAAGTGAGTTTATTTATTTGGAAGAATGGATTCTTGAACACTGAAATAAAAACATATGTAAAGGTTCTGATGAAGCTGGGGGCAAAATTTTACTAAAACTTTTTAGCTTGTAGAAATAGGCATACCACAAACCACCTGAGTTTAACCTTGCTTTGTTTCAATAAACTCTAATAACTTCCTCTAAGGAAGTTGCCTTGCAAGTCTCTGTTCATTCTCCTCAAGACACCCTTACAGCCCCGCCTCATTTCTAGTCCTCAGTCTCAGAAGACCACGAAGAGTGAGATAACAAGTCTGTCCCAGGAAGTGGTGCATTACACACCAAAGAACTGCCTGGTTTTTCTAATTTAGAAAGACATAAATCCAGGTAATATGTTTGGAAAGTGACATAAAGGGTGCAGGATAATGGGGGAAGGGACATAAAGTTGTATCAGGCCTACTTTTTTTGGTAATACTGAGACATTCTAGACTCAGTGTTTTAGCTTGAATGGAAATACAGGGCTCTAACAGTTTGGTTGGTTAGCTGCAAGATGGAAGAAAAAGATGACCTATAATAAATGAAGTTGAAATGCCAGAACTGTCTTGGTGTATTATACATTACAGTCTCCAAAGACTCAGGGAGACTGGAAAGTTAGAGAACACTTACTATATATACTCACTCCAGGAAGGACCAAAGCGTTGTCGTAAAAGGAACAATTCCCGTGCGCAAGGAGGTCTGAAAAGTGTGGGGACAAATCCCAGGGCCTTTGGGGCGTTGTGCTCAGCCTCGGGCAGCTGTAGACAACCTGGGTATCCTAGCTCCGCGCGCTAAGAGCATTGTGGGTAGCGCAGTCCCGCGCCCCGGGGCACTGTGGGTAGCGTAGTCCCGCGCCCCGGGGCACTGTGGGGACCGTAGTCCCGCCCTGGGCACTGTGGGGACCGTAGTCCCGCCCTGGGCACTGTGGGTAGCGTAGTCCCGCCCTGGGGCACTGTGGGTAGCGTAGTCCCGCCCTGGGGCACTGTGGGTAGCGTAGTCCTTCCCTGGGGCGCTGTGGGGACCGTAGTCCCGCCCTGGGCACTGTGGGGAGCGCTGTCCCAGGGCCGGCCGGTAGAGCTTGGTGTGTGGCGAGACTGCTTTTGTGCTTTTGGAGGAGAAACCGAGTGGTTGTAGGTTGGGGGAGGGAATGGTCGCGAAAACCAAGGATGGCGGCGAGGCCAGGCTTGCGCTGGCCACGGGTTCCTCAAGGTTTGACTTTCGGGCGGGTGGGCGGCGGGGGCCCAGCGCCCTGTCCTGGTGGGACCTGCAGTAGTTCCTGTGATTTAGGGAACACAGGCGCCCCGGCTCAGAGCAAACGTGCTCACAGCTGTGGACTTGCAGCTCGGGCTTCCGTCCTGGGTATTCAGGAGGGCACCGGGCCAGGCAGTGCCCGGGGACCCGGGTTTGGGGGAGCATTGGCTTGCAGACTTAGATGGGTGGTGGGGCGGCTGAGGCCCAGCGACTGGGGTCCGCGGCCTCAGAGCCTCGGGGAAGCTGGGAGTCCAGGCGGGGTCAGGGTGAAGGGTTGCGTGGGGCTTCCATGTGTCCATATGGCTCCCGCCAGTGTGGGGGCCCTTCCAAGGGCCTGGGGTAGAGTAAGTGGAGTGGCGCCCACGGGCAGGGAACTCCCCCATCCCAGCAGGGCTGCTGCCCCTCTGAATTACCGGGGAGGGGGGAGGGTAAGACATCTACACAAGTTTGTATTTTCAACTTTTCATCATGAAAACATTGCAAGATGTAGCCGTGAGGCTCCATGGATCCATCCCTCAGATTCACCACTTAACGAGAACCTGGCCTTTCCCCCAGATCTGCAAGTGTGCATCTCTGTGGGCATTGTCTCCACCCGGGAGCCCCTGCCAGGCCTGCAATCCCTGCCTCGGTGGGGAGTTCAGATCCGGGTTCTCACTGAAGCTGCCCTCAGTGTGGAAAGAGGTAAAACTTGTGTCCAGCACATGCTAAGTGCTTTGTGTTTTTACTGAACTCCATAGGCTCAAGGAAGATGATGTCATGCTGGGTGTTAGCATGACCTCAAAGCAGGCTTGCTCTAAAACCCACACCCTGACTCTGTAGGGACAGAGAACCTTCCAGGTTCTGCTACTTTAGTGAAGTGGACCCCAGCTGCAGGCTTGGGGGTTTCCAGCCTGCCCCCTGGGCTGGGAGAGGATCCTATGGCCGGAGCTGCTTCTCTCATGCCCAAGTCAGCCCTGGTGCACCCCATGCTTCTCCCACATCCAGAGGCATTGCCTGTTAGGTGGGGAGAAGGAGGGGCCTGGCAGCCCCTTCTCGGGTGGGCGGCGCGTCCTTGTGTTCCTGTGGTGCTTTTGCTCACAGTAGAGGGTCATTGCTTTGCAGGTCCCTGGTATCTTGTGTGTAGCATTTCTCTGTGGGCTGAGCTGCAGGTGGTTTCTCAGGGTTCCCGACATCTCCAGGGAGCTCCCTCCCTGACCCAGCTGTATTCTCTCGGCCTCTGAGCCCCGGAAGAACAAAGGTGGTGAGAAGTAGTGTTTTGAGAGCAGCAGTCGCATGTTGGCGGTGTGCTTTCTGCGCACTGCACAGTTTGTTTCCTCAGCCATCCTTGTACATTATGTAGAATTCTCATTTTATAGAGAGGGAAATGATATAGTAACTTTTACCTTGGAGCCAGCTGTTCTTTAACTTTCAAAGTTTCAATGAAAATTTAAAAGGAGGTGCTCTTTCAGGTTTGTCTTGTGCATCTGTGATAAAGATAAAACATTTGTTCACTTTCTCCTGATCCTTTGTCCTAGCCCCTAATGACATTAACTTTCCTTGATGACAGGGCACCAACAGAAGGCAGGAATTAGACCATCCAGTGTTTGTAGTTTATCCCCTCTTAAGGTTTTTTTTTCTACTTTTGGGGGTGTGTGAAGGGAGGTGGCTTATTAAATTTAAAATTATTGAAACCTGACAATACAGCCAAAACTAGTGAGAATACTGTAAGAGCACCTGCGTGTCCCTCTCAGCTTCAGCAGTTAGCATTCTGCTCTTTCAGTTTTCTCTGCTGAAGTACTTGCAGCAAACCCCAGATAACATTTTACCTGTAAATGCTTCAGGAGGTAATACTTTTGAATTCAGACTTTAAAGAAAATAACCTTTATACCATATATATATATATATATACCCTACAAAATTAACCCCAATTCATTAATGTCATTTAATAATCAAGCTGTGTTCAGTTCCCCCAGTTGTCACAAAATTCCTTGCTATACAGTTCAAAGCCTGCTGTCAACAGCCCAGGTAAGAGGCATGTATAGGACAGTATTGGGATTTCTGCCTTCTGAATCCCTTCGCTCTTCTCACCCATTCCAGCTCTGCTGATCTTGTTAATGGCAGGAGTCCACCTCTGGGCACATACTGCATGACCTCAGGGGTCTTGCCTCCTTGAGTTTTCCAGATTTCCCACTATCTGATGAGCTGTTAAGTCTTGTCCATTCTTGCTCTTCTCCTTTCTCCTCACCTTCAGTTAGCTCAGCATATTGTCTTTCCCCATGTTCCAGTTCATCTTCCTGCTGCAGAAAGGTCCTCCTCTCTTTATTGTGGGTTCTGAAGTCAGACTCAGGCTCCATTGGTACCGACTCTGTGACCCTGCGCATTTGCCTTCACTGGGTGTCACTCCCTTTTTCCCATCGGTAAAATAGGGCTAATAGCAATGTCAGGGTTGGGAGGTGGAAAGGTGATCTTCGGAAGTGGTGAGGGCTCAGGGACAGTGCGCTGAGGTGATGGTGATGCTCCATTCTGACCTGGCCACTCAACAGCCTTCCCAGAACCATCACCCTTCACTCCAACTGGTTTACTGCCACATGGGAATCTACTCCACTGAGGGGAGTTTTACTCCCTCATGCCTTTATGCTACACACATTCACCCTGTCAGCTAGCTGAGATGCTTCTGTAGTGCAGAGATTTGAGTATTCTCTGGCTGAATTATTCCTAGAGCACTTCTACGTGAGGACTTCAGGGCTCACTGGTGCATACCGACTGAGATTGTCCCACTGGTGTTGACATGGTTCTCTGAAGGACAGGCACCTTGTCTAGCTCCCGGCTCTTCCTGAGTTACTGCTTGGTACCCAGATGTGAGGCTATGAGGGGTTGTCCTTTCTGCCTGGAAATCAACATTTGTGGGGGGAGGAGTGATGGAACCTCAAGTGGGAAATGGTGTTGGGCTATTACTGGGGAGGGTTGTGGGTGGCAAGATAATAGGTGTGGATCTTGTTCTGTGGCCAGTGAGAACCACTGCTGGGTATTGACCAGAGGAGGGTCACGATTTCTTCCTTCAGTTATTACCTCATTTCTTTGCTCCCCTTTATAATGAAAGTCATCCTGAGAATTGTTTGTGCTTGATAAATGCAGTTTTTCTCCACCCAGTGTCTATTTAATTTCTAGACATTTTGGGACTTTTCTAGCTAGCTTATTGTTACTGTTTCTTATTTAATTCCATTCAGGTCAAAGACAAAGTATGTACAATGTCAGCCCTTGTAACTTGGGAGTTATTTCCCGACCCAGTATATACCTGGTGAAGGTGCCCTGGGCCCTTGAAAAGAATGTATTCTGCAGTTGGGTGTTGTTCTAATACTGTGTTAGCTCAAGTTGCTTGGTTGTTATATCCAGATCTTTTATATCCTTATGATTTGTTTCATTATTTTTATCAATTTACTGAGCAATAGTTTCATCATTTTATCAATTACTGTGATGGTATTAAATTCTTCAACTTGATTGGATTGTGGAATTTTCTTTTCTCTCAATTCTGTTTTTTGTTCGTTTGTTTTTGTTTTTTTGCTTCATGAATTTGGAAGCACTGTTATAAAATGTGTATACATTTACCTTTGGTGTATTTTCTGAAGAAGTGACTCTTTCATTGTGATGAAACATGTCTTTGTGTCTCTGGTAACACTCTTTGTTTTGAAATATGCTTTGTCTGATATAGCACCACTCGTCTTCCTATGCTGACTGTATGCATGTTGTGTCTTTTCCCATCTGTTCTTTCAGCTGACCTGTCTATAGTTAGTATGCTGCTTTCATTTTTTAAATCTTCACTAGAGATTTTTTTATTGCTTTTTTAGAGAGAGGAAGGGAGAGAGAGAGAAACATTGATGTGAGAGAAACATCAATTGGTTTCCTCCCACATACACCCTGACCAGGATCAAACCTGAAACCTTTGGTGTACAGGACATCACTCCAACCAGCTGAGCCACCTGGCCAGGGCTAAAGTGTGCTTCTTGTGGGCAGCATATGGTCGGGCCTTGTTTTTTTTTTAAATCCTCACCAGAGGATATGCTTACTGACTTTAGAGAGGGGGGAGGG